TTCTTTCTTTCTTTCTTTCTTTCTTTCTTTCGTTTATTTATTTTGAGAGAGAGAGAGCACAAGGCAAGGTAGAGCAGAGAGAGAGAGAGAGAGAGAATCCCAAATAGGCTCTGTGCTGTCAGCACAGAGCCGATGATGCAGGGCTCAATCTCACTAACCATGAGATCGTGACCTGAGCCAAAATCATGAGTCAGATGCTTAACTGAATGAGCCCCCCAGGAGTCCCGCATTTCTGACGCATACATGCAGATGCATGTGTACTGCTTTAAAAATATAACTGGTAATTAATTTGTATTTGTTAGTACTACTTAGGAAATTCCTGGGGTAACTGCCAGGAGGTTAAGTTTTTGAATCTAGTTTTTTAGAGTAAATGTAAAAAGTAAAACTTCAATAAAATTAGAAAGATGAGAATTCTCTTTTAGAGAGCCAAATCACCAAACTTGATGGCTTTATTTTCTTTTTAATGAAAAGAAATTTAAAAGACTAATTTTCTGAGGAAAGCTAATAGCATTTTAGGTTGCTTACAGAATTTTGTTAATTCCATTGAAAAATCTTCGTTTATAACTATGGACTCGTGGGGATGTTTTTGTAATAAAAATTTTACATGGCTTTTTGCTTGGACATGATGTTTTAAATGTTTATATTCTAGAAAATTTCAAGTATATATAAATGTGCAGATGGTAGTATAATGAATCATTATGTACTCATCATCCGGCTTCAACAATTATGATACTATTTTGTGTCTAGAACAGTATTATCTTTGAGTTAACACTGGTCTGCTTAATCCTCTGAGATTTAACCTAGGGTTTCTGTGCTTTAAACAGAAAAAGAATTAATTTCATTCTTTGGTTGTATTCACAGAATGAGCATAAGGATTACTTTGTATGTGGTGTCAAGTTGCCCAATTCTGAGGACTTCCAAGGTATTTTATTTCTTTTTACATCTAAAGATTTGGTGTATATGATATATGGGTAGGTTGCAGAGAAAAAAATAGAGATATCTTGAAGAGTTGGTTGCCTAGCAGAGGGTTTTTGGACCTTCTGTCCCTTCCCAAATGAAAGAGTCAGATTCTCTGATGGGAGACTTAAGAGGATATTTAGTTCTAATCATGGGGAAAAAATTATTGAGTTGTATATTTGAAATTTAAAAGAAAATCGTTTTTATGTGGGCTTTAAGAAAATCAGACAATGGCATTCTTAAGAATACTAATAATCTCCCTATCCTTTTGGTTTGATTTTCATGAAAGATTTGTATGTGGTTGGGAGCAGAAGCACAACCAACATTAATCTGTTCTGTTGTTATTTAGAAAATCATATGTCTGGTAACATGAAACGTCTTTGAAAATTTGATTTTGTGACATTCCTACTACCACAGGCTCAACTTTTGTTACACTGTCATTTCTGTCCTCTTTGAACTAAGAAAAAGTTACATTAGAGATATTATAGACTGTGACTTATAGTAATTGCTATATTTTAAAGTTCCTAATCTCTTTACCAGTAGGCCAAAGGAAAGAACTTCTTTTATTTGACATTTTGGTAAAGACGTTTTTTTTTTTTTTTTATTGTTAGCAAAGTGGGTTCTTTTCCCCTAGCCTATGCAGTGCTTTGAGGCTTATTAAATAGCTTTATAGATTATTCCCAAAGGTAGCATATTATGTATGTGGGAAGAAGTTATTCAAGAAGACGGCATTACAGGTTTTGTTTGGGACCTTCCTCCATTTCCCGATAAAGAAAATGTTGTTATTTATGGTCCTTTAACATTTAAGACTGATTTATTACCTACTTTGGCCTTCACAGCAACCCTTACAGCAAGTAGTTGGGACATAATATGAGTGATAAAATAGGAATGGGAAAACCTGTATTAAGTCCTGTTTCCCCTTCTAGAAACCATGTAATTTGGAGCAAGCCATCTAAACTCAACTCAAAAGTTGATTTCCTAATCGATATTATGAACATATTGATTCATGTCCTTACCTGGTTTGCATTAATGTTGAGAAGATTAGATCTGTAAAAGCATTACATTTGCCTTATCTTTAATCCTCACAAAACAAAGGAAACCTGTAAAGAAAGTGGTATAATCTCATATTACATAGCATGTAAATGAGCTATTTAGTTAGTGACTTGCTCAAGACCACAAAACTAGGTAACGATCTATCCCAGATTTGTCAGGTTTCCATTGTAAAATGTTCCTTCTAATCTCCATAAGTCATGGAGATGTGTTTTGGTGTTGATTTTAGGCAAGTTATGGTGTCCTGAAGGCCATAACACATCTTTTTCCTCATTCGTTCATTCGTTCAACAAACCTATTGAGTACCTTGAGCCTTGTGCCAGGTTCCGGGGATATAGAGCAACGATCAATTGGAGAAAGTACTAATTGAGCACACCTATATGCCAGGCACTGTGCTGGATTTTGAGGATATAATGATAGAAGAAACAAATATGTTCTCTCCTTTCATGGAGTGTGCAATCTTTTGAGGGAGACAACCAATAAGAAAATAAGTATTTAACAAGTATTTAATAAAGGAATATGTTATTATAGACAGTAGGGGAACCTACTTTAGAGAAAGCAGTTAGAGAAGGCCTCTCTGAGAAGAAACATTGGACAGAAAATTTGAAGGCTGAAAGGATCCAACTCTCTGCTACATCTGGGGGAAGAGCTTTCCTCGAAGAGGGGGCAGCAAGTACAAAGTTCACGATGGAGCAATGAACTTGATATATCTGGAAAAAAAAATTCAGGGTAGGGGGTATGGGAGAAAAGACCTGTATTTTGGGCAAATCATATAATCCCTCAGCTTAATTTCTTCACCTATAAAATGGGTAATACCTACATTCTCATTTATTGTGATGACTGAATGAGATAATAATACTTGAAAGAGCTTTGTATGTAAGGTACTCATGTAGATGTAATGGGAATTGGTTGTGAGAGAGAGGAGGGAAAGGGAGGAAAGTAGGAGAGAAAGAAGGAAAGACCAAAAAGACCAGACCTGTGTGACTGGAGAGTAGCGAGCAGGAGGAAGGTAGGAGGAGGTCAGCCAAGGCCTAGAGGCCACCGTAGGGTGTTTGTGTTATTCTCAGTGGAGTGGGAAAACCCTGCAGGGCTTTAAGAGAGGGATGACATGAGCTGATGATATAATCAATCTTCGATTCTATTTTTGTGTTCTATAAAGTATTCTGTTTCCTAGTTTTTCACAGCTTTTGCCAGCTCTGTCTTCTTAGTATGTCCAACAAGCTGAATCTATTTTTCCCACCCTTTAAATAATTAGTTTAGCGTTTTAGTGCAGTTTGCTGAAAATGAAATGGGAGATAAAATGAAACAAATGTGTAATTTTTCACTCTAAGGCCCTGTTCGCTCCCTGTGATGCCTCACAATCAGAAATTTTAAGAAGCACATATGGTGGTGTTGGACTTTAAAATCTTATGTTAGCATTCTGCAAGGCACTTCCATATTCTCAATTCACTGAATGTCTTGTGTTGTGTCACCTGCTGGGCCAGGTGCTGAGAGTGTGCAAAGATGAGTAGGACATTGATCCTACCTCAGTGGGCTTTCGGTCCAGGTGAGGCCATTAAACTTGTAATCAGAGCCATCAAGACATATTTATTGATTTCATACCCTGTGTCAGGCACTTTGAAGTTTATAGTAGGTACCCAAGATTCAAAGAAGTGGAAATACTCAGTGCCGTCAGGAGGGGATCGTGAAAACCTTTACAGGGAAGATGGTGCCTGAGGTGTCTTAAACGATGAAATAGTATTCCCCTGGTGAGAGAAGGGTAGGAGGACATTTTAGATTGGGAGAGTAGAGAAATATGGTAACATGGAACATCATGCGTGGTGCTTCTTGTTTATTTAATTTTCACAACTGTGAGAATGAATTCCTTCTGTGAAGGAAAGAATTACACTCAATTTTTTTTTTTTTTAAGACAAGAAAATTGAGGCTCAGAGAGATTAGTTAATTTTTCCAAAGACTCATACTAGCCAGTAGCAGAGCTAAAGTCATTCCTGGTCAGTCTGGTTTTGAGGTCCATATTATTCCTGTCATGATGCCGTTTTTGTCCTTGTTTTGAATAATAACCTCTTCCAAACTTCTGACAGCTTTTTAGTGTTCTGTAACAGCTGCATTCTTGGTCATT